GGATCGAGTCCCACATCGGGCTCCCTGCTCAGCGGGGGGTCTGCTTCCCCTTCTGCCCTCTTCCCTCTCGTGCTCTCTGTCTCTCATTCTCTCTCTCTCTCAAAAATAAATAAATAAAATCTTTAAAAAAAAAAAAAGAAAATCTTTGTTACAATTTCAGAGTGTCTTGAGGGTTCCAGATTCTTCTGGAATCTGGTCTTGTACTTTATCCTTTAAAACTAAGGCTGTGGAGGGACAGTGCCAATTAAGCAATTCCCTGGCTTCTTTCCATGGAAGTCCATTTCTTCTCATCTATGATCTTTGTTCTCCTCTTTTCTGGTAAAACTATTTTAGCAGGGTTAGCCAAGCTAAATCCCTGATTTACCAGCAGAGCCCTGGCTTTCACTGTTGGGTCAAAGGGCAGAGTACTGAATTGCAAAACAAGTGCTCTTGAGCCCTTTAAAGAAGTGCTAGCCCATTAAGCATCTCTAGCCTAAAGTAAACACGAGTTAAAAATGATTATTTGTACAAATAATAGTGAGGCAACCAACAGGAATGAGGAACCTGTTAATTTCTTCAGTGGTTCTTGAACATGCTTTTCCTCCGTAACTCTAATTTCCCTGAGACCTTCCCGAAGTGTTTCTCCCTTGGGCGATATGCATCTATTTGAACCACGGAGATGAACCCGTTGGAGGACTGACTGGCAAGAGAGGCTTCAAGGCAGGCTGGGCAATGCTGAGAGGGAGGGATTAATAGAAATAATTGTTGGGGAGAACAAAGAGATCTAAACTGTTCCTGCCACACAGCCTGACTGTGGCTAGTGTGATGTGAGAGCAAGTCAGAAGGCTTTGATGTGTACTTCAAGGACTCTGAAGTAGCCACAGCAGGAGTACCAGCTGCTGAGCTGAGATCTTCTGACTGGGGCGGGGGTGGGGGAGCTTGGGAGGTGGGGACAGTCTCATTTTCAGCCTCCAAGGAGGGCAGCAGCTTTCATGGGGCCAGCAACATGGCCCCATGGAGGTGGTGTAATCAGCGGGCTTTATATACCAATTGCTGAGGTTACATTAAAATTTGTGAGTCTAATGATACATTTGTTCATGTTATTAATATATATATTGTATAGATAACATTTACTTAACCATGATCCTGGGCCAGGTTTCTAAATGCTTTGCATGTACATTAATACATTTAATCCCCACAATAGCACCTTGAAGTAGATATTATTATCCTAATTTTACAGATACGGAAATTGAAGTACAGAGGGGTGAGTTAAATGGTTTCCCCAAGTCACACACAGCTTGTAAGGGCTGTTGCTGGGATGTGATAAAAATTTGCTGGGAATTCTTGTCAAGAGAGAATCCTTCTAAGATTAGGGTTTAGACAGATAAAATTTCAATGGCAATGTGGGTTTCATGTAGCTGTACTACCTAATTTATTTTTAAATTGAAGTACAGTTGACACACAATGTTACATTAGTTTCAGGTGTCCAACAGTGTTTCAACAAGTCTAGATGTTATGCTGTGCTTACTGCAAGTGTAGCTCCCATCTGTCCCCATGCAACACTATTACAATGCCATGTTCTGCTTAATTTCTCTCAATCAGTGATGAGGAAGGCTCTTTGTTGGATGCTAGGAGGGGTGGAGAGTAGTAGTGGAGATATATAAATTAGTATCAGACAAAGTCCTGTGTCAGTCAATTTATACTTACGTTGAGAATGTCCTATAGTTCTGAGGTGGCTCAGCTCAAATTCTCTTAGGACTCTTTGCCCCAGGTTTGGAAACTTGTCTTGTATCTACTACTACTACTTGTATGTACTACTGTAGCTACTAGCTACATATGGCTACTTAAATTAAACTTAAAATGTTAATTCCTCAGAGTAGCTACATTTCAAGAGTTCCATTGCCCTAGGTGGCTAGTGGCTACCATATTAGTCAGTGCAGATATAGAATGTATCCTTCACTGCAGAAAGTTTTAGTGGACAGTGCTATTTTGAAAAGTCTTTTGACTTGAGATGACCTGCCAAAAGAGGCTGAATAAACCCATATCTCTTACTTTCTTTTTCTTGCTCTGTTTCATATATATTATGCTTGGGAATAGCTTATGACTTCATTAAGAATTTAATGAAAGCCGTTACCCCGAAAATGTACCTACACAATTATACACAGAAATTTGCATATAACTTTGGTGGTATCATGGACTCTTCGTGTAATAGTTACCCACCGGTGCACAGCAAATTACCCCAAAACTTAGTGGCTTAAAACAACAAAGATTTATTATCTCATATAGTTTTGTGGTCCAGGAATTCAGTAGTTCAGCTTAGTGATTCTGGCTCAGGACTCTCATTAGATTAAAGTAGGGTTGCCAGGTTTAGCAAATAAAAATACAGGATGCTTGTTTAAATTTTAATTTTAGGTAAACAATAAATACTTTTTTTCAGTATAATAATCTTATACTTTACTGAAAAATATTCATTGTTCACCTGAAATTCAAATTTAATTGGGCATTCTGTATCTTATAATCCAGTCATGTGTCAGCTGAGGCTTTCATCGTCCGAAGACTTTCAGACAAGGGCTCATGGATCCATTTCCAAGATGGCACATGAACATACCTAGCAAGTTAGCTCTGGCTGTTTGCAGAGGGCATCAGTTCTTTGCCACATGGAGCTCTTTTTGGACTGCTTGAGTATTTCCCTCACATGGCAGCTGGCTTCCCCCAGAGTGATTCAAGAGAGTTCAATACCATTTATGACCTTACCTTGGAAGTTACACTTTGTAATTTCTGAAATATTGTATTGATCACACAGGTCACTTCTATTCATTGAGGGAGAGGATTAGATGAATACCAGAAGCAAGAATCACCGGGGGCCATCTTGGAGACTGGCTCCATCTTCTGGAATTTATACATGGAGTTTGTAGCCTATAAGTTCCATGACAGTAGAATTTTTCTATTTTTTTTTTTTCTTCACAGTTGTAGCCCTGGTGGCTATAACAATTGCCTTATAAATTTTAGGCACTCAATAAATATTTGTTGAATGAATGAATAAATGGACTCAATTCAAATTCTCAGACCTAAAAGATTCCTTTGGTCCCTAGAAGGTCTTGTAGGAACAAAAGATGCTTCCCCAAAGAGGTGGAGGATGAAGATATTAGAATATAGTAATAGGAATTTGTAAAGGGATGCATCAATTTAATAATGTTCTTAATGAATGATGGTGATGGTGGTGGTGTTCAACAAGGGCCAGCCTCTGTGTTAGAAACTTCTTGTTATGTACATAATTTCATGTAGGCATTGTGAAAAAGAGTAAGGAGTTATGATTCAAATGCTGTGAAGAAGGTTAACACATGCATGTGCACACATGCACACACACATGCACAAATAGGCACACACACACCCCCACCCACAAACACACCCATGCACCCATGCCATTCAAAGGAAGGAATGCTCTGGGATAACAATAGAAAGGAAACCATGAGATTTAATACAGTGTCAAAATGGGTCTTTTATAGAAAAGCACCTGGCATAGTCTCGACACAAAAATGACAACCTGAGAAAGAACACACAGGTTAAAGTTTATCATAGGCCTGCTTTTTAGAAAGTAAAGAGTGTGGGTTGTAATTCAAGGTGGGCAGCGATAATAAAGGACAGGGCTATGTGTGGAAATAACAGTGGTCCTCTTAACGGCAGCAGACTTGTTTCAGGTTCTGTCATTTTTTGGGATCTGTTGGGACATAAGCTTCCCAAGATAGAGGGGTAACCTGCGCAAAGGTTACGTGGCCAGCACCACTCAAATCACAGGTTATCGCTCAAGTGAATTTGTGGGATTTACTTTTTACTAATGGAAGTCGGCAGGGAGACCCTGGAGGGTAAGGAATACACCATCACTTCAAGATCCCCATGCTAGGCATCATCTCTTTCCTCAAGATGCTGTACGTTTGTAGGTTGTGAGGATGAAGACAGGAGTCAGTTGTAGAAAAAGCCTAGCAGTTTATTTCCTGATGGTTTACAGAAGGACATTTAGGTCTTTACACCTTCTCAGGAGGGTCTGCAAGGCAGCTTCGGCTGCTCTCTGGACACTGATGCAGGGGTCTTGCCGAAGTGCTTGGAGCCCTGAAACAGGAAGAAAAGCAGGGTTCAGTGAATGAAGAAAGCCAAGGCTCAAGCTATGCCACAGCTTGAGGCTCTACGTTGAGGGTCAGCTCTACGTGGAGCTGGGGTCCCATGCTTATGTTCTATCCCAGTGGGTAGGATTTGGATCTGCAAGCTGAGAATCTATTTTAACACTGAAATAGGGGAAGAGAAGATCCTGACCTTGTAATCAGTAGGTTTATAGACAATCAGAAAATAACAGTCTGTTGGGAATGATGGCTGCAAAGGGCTGGAGCGGGGGGTTGCTTTATACTCAGGAGAAATTCCAGTTTCTAGGGAGCATTAGAGACAATCATGAGGTACTAGGATTTTCAGTTTCTAGGATAACAGGGAACTTGGTGCAGCATTAGCTTTTCTTTCTGAAAGATATGTCTTTAACAATATGCTGAGCAGAAACTAGGGTTGGTACTCACGTGTGGTCAGTTGTTCTTTGTCTAATAACTGCACATATTGGTTGGCCAAGTTGAGAACAATGGCATCTAAAATCAACAGGGGAAACAGATACTAATTTCATTATAGAGGAAGAGGCCATGAAAAGCATGTCAGGTCAGACTCTGCACCTGGTCAGAAGTTAAGTGGTCTGGCTAGTGAATGAGCAAATTATCTGATTCTTTTTGTGACCCCAGGATGATGCCAGGGTGATGTCTCTTGGGTTTTGAGTGCCATGTCTGGAAGTGGTCCCTCACCCAACATGTACTTGGGAAAGATCACGAAGTGTCCTCCCAGGGGGTGCCAGTTATTGTCAGGGTTTCAAACATGTGCCAGATAGGATCCTTGTCTTCAGAAAGTTTACAGTGTAGCTGGAGGGATCATTCATTTGATCCAATAAGAAATCCTTAGCTTTTAACTCAGTCTTAAAGGTGGCCAAGAGAGTAGGCCTGTTCATGGTGGGCTGGGTTAGTTAGAATAGGCGTCATGATAAAATTTAGAATTTCATAATTGAAGGATCCTCAGGGATTCACTTACATTCCTCTTTTATTTCATAGATCAGACAAAGAGGTAACACAGAGAAGTTAAGTGAATTGTCCAGAATCAAATAGCAGAGCCAAGATCGGCTGGTCTCCTCACTGACACACTTTCCACTTGTATTATGTAGCTGCTAAAGCTCTCAGCTTCAACCCAGCTTGAAAGGTTTACTATGGCTTATGTTAAGGGAGGATGCAAAGGAAGCATTTAGGCATGGCAGCAGGCTTGGGCAAAGACTTGGGCAAAAGAAGGAGCGACGACTAGGAACCAGAAGAGACATGAGGGGGGAGGGTCTAACGGGAGGAGCGGGGGTTTTGGGAAGTCAGAAGATGTTACAAGTTTTCATCTGCAAAAGGGAACAGGTTCCTTTGAGGGAAGATATTCCAAGATGCAGAACGAATTCCTTTCTGGCATTTTGTTGTTGTTGTTGTTGCTGTCATCCCAGTCATACCCGTGTTCATGGTGGAGTAGCTTCCCGTTGAAGCAAGACTAGATGGGAAGGAGCAGATCATCTGAGTAGGGAGTGCGAATGTGCTCTCACCTGTGAGTTTGACGGCAGCACTCCGGATCATCTCCCAGTTGCTGCTGAAGAAGGTGAACGAGTGTGTGTGGAGGATCCACAGGATTTCCTGGTTTTTCTTTGCCTAAAAGAGTTGGATATTACAAAGAGGACAACTGGGAAGTGATCCACTATGAAATTTGGCATCCGGTAGGTCCTACAAAAGGAAACTAAAGGCCACGAACACTCACACAGCCATTAATCATTCTACTGGAAGATGTCTTATGGTTATTTCAAACCTGAATTTAATCAGAAAAGTACTGGGCCTTGCGGGACTAATCAACAGGTGTGTTTAAGGAATCTCGAAGAACATAGCCCAGTCAGGACTTGGGAAAGAGCGGAAGGTAATGGGGCCAGATACCAAGAATCGTTGAGATCCTTCCAAACCAGTTCTGACTGTGGCCACAGATCCCTTGCTGTGTTGTTTGCCTTTCTGGGATCTGCCTGGACTCTGGGCTGTGCAGCGTTTGCAGGCAGCATTTACGACACACTCACCAGTTTCACACAGAATTGCCTGTAGAAATCCCTGGCCCTTGGTAGATCCTGACCATCAAGGAGATGATCTAACACCCCATAGAGTTCCTGAAGGCCCAGGAAAGGGATGCAGATGATCAGGACATCACGGCAAGCCTAAGAAACAGAGTGTTTCAATCACCGTCTATAATGCTGGATCTCTTTCTGGAAGGGAAGGATGCTGCCTAGTGCTGGGAGTGGGGCAGTGGACACCAGTGATGTGAGGGGCTTAAAGTCAGTGCTGGTACCTTCCCAGTTTCAAAGACGGAAGAGCAATCCCAGACAGAGAGAGCAGGCAAGAAAGAACCTAGGGTTGAAGAAGCAGTTTTCAGGTTCGGTTGAGAGAGGTGGCCTCAGATCCAGCTTCTGGACCAGCTAGACCAGAGTTACTGGCATGTGCCGGCCGTGGGGGAGGAGGAGGTGCAGATGTCTGTACAAAGGTCACTTACTGCTCTGATCTTGGGATTGGGATCCCAGAGGTGGAGAAGGAATGAAATCATGCTCTTTTTTATTTCCTCCGCAAAAAAAATCTTCCACCTTCTTCCTGTTAGGGATGCCAGATTCTCAAATAAGAAGATGGCAGTCAGTCTCACATCATCCTGCTCCTGTGGTGACAGACGCATGTCATGGGTGAGTCGCCCTCACAGGCCACTCCCGGCCGGCACCCACCCCCACCCCGGCCGCCCCATGTCAGCAGAGGGAGGCTGCAACACGGTCGCCGGTGTGCTCTTGTCACAACCCCTCTGTGCGCCAAGAACGCCCTTCCATTCCTGGCAGCTCTGTACTCACACTCTGTGAGTTTGAATGGCCACGGGTCTGGGGTTTAAGTGATGCTCTAGAGCTGGAGACTTGGTTTCTATCATTGAGTAGCTACTGGGGAAACAGACCACAGGAATGGTAAACATGGCGTACCGGGGGCAAGAGGCCAGGGAGGGTTCCTGCTCATTGTGTATTTTATACAAATTAGCCTGATGGCATCACTAACCTAGAATTCTGGGGCTTCTAATCTAAATTGCCCAAGGCCCGAAACTCTTCTCTAAGATCCCAAATACTTTCCAATGGGATTAAAGGCAGCTCAGAAGTTTGGGCTCTGGGTCTCGGAGACAGAGAATATACAAACAAGTGCCTAGCCCTACGCTTGCATATGTGAAATTTTGGAACCTCCTTGCTTGTTGTCCAGCATGGTAGATAATGATTTTAAGAACCAAAGGGTGAGGTGGTGGAGAAAGATGGCCTCCTGTTATCACAGATACTTTGCTGATACTGATCAGAGTTCTAACGAACACTGGATTTTCTGGAGGTTTTTTCTTTCTTTTTTTCCCTCTCAGGTCTAGCAAACTAGTTTAGAATACCCATATAAAGGCAGAGGGATGAAGAGAAAAGTCGTCCTGAGTCGCAGAATATTATTTTGGATTAGCAATAAGCAAGGGCTAATGAAAAGCATCCCCATGAATATGAGGAAAAGAAGAGAGAGTAGTATTAATTTTGATGGCAAGGTAGAATGTGTCAGAAATGGGCACATAAACAAAAAAGCCACAGAAAAGGAAGTTAATAAAGATCTTCCAGAAAATATAAAGATGGCTGGTTGGGACAAGGCCAGAAAAGTTAAATGAATACATGAGACATGACCTCATATCATAGAAATGGAAGTAGAAATGTTTAAATGTACTAGGAATGAGGTCAGGACATATTTTTAAAAGGTCTATTTATTTAAAAGATTATTTATTTACTTATTTGTGAGAGAGAGCATGAGTGAGTGTGAACGGGGAAAGGGTAGAGGAGTAGGGAGAGGGATAGGGAGTGAATCTCAAGGAGAATCCCTGCTGAGCATGGAACCCAATGTGGGGCTTAATCTCACAACCCTGAGGTCATGACCTGAGCCGAAACCAAGAGTCAGACGCTTAACCAACTGAACCACTCAGGCACCCCTATTTATTTATTTATAAAAGATTTTATTTTTAAGTAATCTCCACACCCAACGTGGGGCTTGAACTTACAACTCTGAGATCAAGAGTTGCATGCTCTGCTGACTGAGCCAGCCAGGTGCCCTAAAAGGTCTCTTTTTATTTTATTTTTTAAAAAAGATTTATTTATTTATTTATATGACAGAGAGAGAGGGAGAGAGAGAAAGAGGGAGGCAGAAGGAGAAGCAGGCTTCCCGCTGAACAGAGACCCCGACTCGGGGCTCAATCCCAGGACCCCGGGATCATGACCTGAGCTGAAGGCAGATGCTTAACTGACTGAGCCACCCACAGGCACCCCAAAAGGTCTCTTTTTAGAAAAAGAAAACAGACCAATTACAAAACACCAAAAAGGTAGAAAGGTATTTACTTTTTTCAAAATCTTTTAAATTTTCTGAAATCAAACGATAGGACCTAATGATAGGTCAAGGAATGATAGGAAAAAGCAGAAAAAAAGCAGCAAACCTGTTGTGGGTGCTGAGATACTAGAGTTTAGTGTCCTTGTTTCGAGTTGAGAAAATGGAGTCACACAGAGTAAGGTGATTGCTCGGGGTTGGTGCAGGGGCAGGAGTGAACAGGGCGCGGCGCATGGGGTGGCCACCATATTTTCTGTTCTACCATTTCGTTGGAGTGTCACCATGTTTTGAGAATTCCAAGAAAGTGCTTAAATATTGAAAGAAAGGGAGGAGGGAAGAAACTTGGAGATGACAGAATTGTATGCTTAATCTATAGAAAACTATTGGGGCTAAGTTTCATAAAGTATAGTTCAATTTACTTGTGGGAAGAGAGCAGTAGCAGAGAATGAGTAGCATGTCATTACTAAGTCCTAAGTTTTTTTTCTTTATCAAGACTTCACTTTTATACAAAAACGATGGAACTGATACCTATTGGGGGTGAGAAGGTTCTAACCTAACAACCCAGCAAGACTTCAGAATTTTTTCCTTCCGCATAAGACTGAGAAACATTATCTTGACCACAAAACTCATAGGTGATTATTGGAGGCTCAGATCCAAGAGAACTATCATCACTGGATCCACAACAACCCCGGGGAAGCTAATAAACAGGTGGGGCGCTGTAGGGGTGACTTCAGCCCTTTGCTGTCAAAGATTGTCATCAATCATCTGTGTAATAAAAAAAGGAACATCTTTGTTATTTTACAGAAGATACTATATTGAGTGGGAGCCAAGTAAGCAGTTTTGAGGACAAGATGAGAATTAAAAGGAATGTTGATACATTGGAGAAAGTAGCTGGACACAAGCAGAAAGCTGCTTTCAAAGGCCGGGATTAGGCTAGCAAGGAAATGACGGAAACTGAAAAATACACAACTGGAGAATTATCGACTGTGGGCATATATTGCAGACTAAAATCTAGAGGCCTATGTTGTTAACAAATTGCCAAGGAGTCAGGAAGAAAGGGCAAGATTTAAAAAAAAAATTGAAGTAGATAAATAGGAAAAAATCAGACCTGAGAGGGAATTTTTCTTTAGGTTGTCTTCAGTACTTTGCAGGCCACATCTAGAGACACAACAGAGTTGCTGGCTTGTAAAATATTTAAAGAGCTGAAAAATTAGGTTTATGATGAATAATGGAGGAAATGAAGACTTTTCAGTCTGGAGACTGGAAGGTAGAAAGGTAATTTAATCAAGCCTTAATGTTTAAGAGGAGGAAACCAGCAGTTTTCCATCTCCTCTGACAACACAACATGAGGAAAGAGGTCTCGATCACAAAAATGTATGTAAGTTGGAGGGGAAATAGATTTTTACTCTGATGACAATGAATAAACCAAAATAAATAATAAAATCGGGAGGTACAAAGGAAAATGACCTTCCTTTGCCTGGGGTCACTGACTGATCTTTTTTTGAATTGATTTCTAGGCTATTGACTAGATTGGGGGTTTTACAGAAGCTTTTTCTGTGAAAGGCCAGACAGTAAATAATTTAGACTTTGGGGGCCATATGGTTTCTGTAACAACTAATCAATTCTGCAGATGAAGTGTGGAAGCAACCATAGACAATATGTAACTGATGAGCATGGATGTGTGCCAATGAAACTTCATTGACGAAAAGATGCTCTGGGCAGCATTTGGCCCTCCGGCTGTGGTGTCTCCTGACTCCTAGATTAAATGAACCACGCAAGCATTTTGAACCTTTGCATCTTGGACATGGAGAAGAGTGTTGGAGGTGAGAAGACCTTTATTTGGGCCCTTGCTCTCTGTTGAGTACTGTCATAATTTGTGGGAATGAGACAGGGAAGAGAGGAAAGCTACCAAAAGGCATTATTAAGGAGTGTATTTCCCTTATGGGCAAGTGGGCTCAATCCTTCTGACAGAGGAGGAAGCTGAGGAGTTTATTTGCAAACTTACATTTCTTGTTGTTCTAGGGTTCTCCCCCAACATGTCTGCACTCCTCCCCCCCACCCCCACCCCGCCCTGCTCAGATCGATCATGATTCCTCGGCCAGAGAGTCCCCTCAGGAGTCCCCTCAGGCAGAGGGAGAGCCAGGAAGCCAGCAGCCTGCACGGGAACTGTACCAATGATCTCTGTGCTGGGAATGCACAGTGGGAAGGCCAAGGAAGAGAGATGGGACAGCGATGTTGCCTGCTACAAGAACTACCTGAATCTCTCTCTGTTCGTTCACTTTTGGGGAGGGAAGATTCCTGAACAGGCTCACTTACGTCTTCAAAGAAGGTTCTTGTTTGCAGCACTATCTCTTTGAAGTAGAAGCTCACGTCTCTGTCTGTGAGCAGTTCCAGGATCTTTTTTAGAGCCTTCAAGCTTTCACAGACGACTTCAGTGCGGGCCAGGTGATACAGGCCTCTGATGACAGATTCTAATATTATCTGCTTATGCTTCTTCACCTATTTTGAAATAAGGTCTCTTAATCTCGAAAACTGTTCTACGTGCAGGTGGCAGAGGGTAGGGGACTTCCAGCAAGGAAATTAGAATTCTGTTAGGGTCACAGTTTCTTCAACCCGAGAGATACCACTGTAACAATTTATTTGGATTTTTACTTAATTACTATGCAACCATGAGGTGTGGGTTAGTAAATCATTATTTTCAATTCTACTTGCATGTCTCCCCGCCCCATAATCCTTTTACCTTGTGAGGGGCTCCATAAGCTGTATTACCAAGTCCTCGGATGGCCATTTGCCTCAACGTGGCATTGGAATCCCAGGCACTCTGATCCATGAGGATCAGCACTTCCCGTAGATTCCCATGCTTCCAAAGGATTGGCTCCTTCACGAGCTGAAAACAACCACTTCGCCCCTTTAGTGAAGGGAGTGGCCTCCCTCCAGGACAGTGACGAGTGCATCATAGATACAATGAAAGTGTAGGGTCCAGCCACTCATGAAGTGGAGGAGGAAGCCCTGGGGTGAATCAGCAAGTGTTGCAGAAACTAATCTCTAGATACGAGCAGCCCCCAGGTCAAGGTTACATGGTGACAAGAACCACGAGACCTAGTTAAGAAGAGGTTTTCTAATCGAAATGGAAAAATGGGAAAACAGGAGTTACTGACAATGTTCCTTCCCTGGGTCGGCTGGGACAACCTTTGTGCCAGGGTGTGAGGTGACAATAATATACCATTGATTACTTTTTATTTTGTCCCTGTCGTAGTTATTCTCCAGGCTTCTCTGTCCTGGGAGGGTTGGTTTCCGCAGACGGGAGCGAAGGAAGAGGTTGGGGGTGGGTTCTTTTTTTTCCCTCTCTCATTCCCTGCTCGGGTACCATATTTCTGGCAGTGGCTGGGGCTCTCCACTCCCCAAGCTCCCCCAAAGGGCCAGCTCCCACTGAACTCTTGACCCTGAGAGAAACGCCCCCAAGGGGACCCAGAGAGCCTGCTGAGCAGTGACGTGGCCGCTTTCTCTTGCCTCAGAGAAGAAAGCTGTGCCAGTGACCCGGTAGTTCTCCGAGGAGGAGGTGAGAGATGAGAAGAGTTGCTCCATGATGTCCAGTATGATGCCACGTTGCTGCACAGTGCTCCTAGAAAACGCAAGGCTCCAGTTGTAGCAGAGACTTTGTTCTTTCTAAACAATGGAGGACATTTTGGTCTATTTCTCTCTCAGGAAAATAAATGATCTAAAAGGGGATGTTCGACGGAAGAGCACTAATGCTTCAACTTGGAAATAGCTTATCGAAGTGCCCAATCTAGGTGCAGTTTTCCTACCACTGTTCACTGCATCACTATGTTTTGGGGGAGTGGTGGGATCTGGGCTGCTCCCACCATCTCTTCCCACGTCCCTCTGCTCTTTCTTCCTTGTTTTTCCTCCTGGACTATAAGTCCTTAGTGAGTCCACTGCTCCCAGTGAAGCTGTCTACATTGCATTTTTACTCGATTTTTAGTTTTCTCCTTTGTGTCCAGTTCTAGAAGGCCCACCCATTACCTGGCCAGTGCACACACTCCTACATGGTGGGTACTGGGACTGCTGAGGAGGGTCCACAAGTTGTCCCCCTCATCAGATTCCTTGGCAAGGCCTTCTTTCATGGCTTGGGCTTGCACACACTTCAGAGTCACCGTCGAGAGCCTGAAGGAGACAGTCGGCATCACAGAAGTAAGCCAACCCCACGCAGGGAATTGTGAATCCCCAAGTTCACTCTGTCTGTTCCCCACAAGGCTCCCTCACTCCTGGATGAAGGGACACCGTGCAAGGGGAAAAACCGACTGCCTGATCTTACACTTTAATTTGGGGTCAGAGGGGACACGGAGATTATCTGAACCAGTAAGTAAAATGCCACAAAACCTCATCAACCTCTCAGGAGAAAATAAAGCCCAAAGGATGGAACGTGCAAACTCCTCTCTTTTGCTTATTCTCAAACAGCCCTCCGGAACCAGGACGCGTCTCACAGTGGATGATGTGTCGCGACGGTTGGCCAGACAGTGGTCGTGCTGGAGTCAGGAGGACGGGTGCAGGCCCGGGTATGTGCGTGGATGGAGGCAGGGCCCTTGATACTGCTGTCATTTTAGTGAAGTGACATATATTAATGCAACTACATGTGTTGGGCCTAAATGCTGCTTAGAAGGTCTTTCGAAAGATTGATTTGACACTGGAATAAAAAGTTATGCAAAAGGACAAGGAAACAGAGCCTTGTGATAGAGGATAAAAATCTATACCTAATCATTTTAAAAGAGTTCTTTGAATAAATATATAGCAAACATTTGAAAGTATATGAAAGCATTGATTCATGGCTTAGTTGGGATTCTTTCTTTCTTTTTCAATAATACACAAAATAATTTTGCTTCCTTCAATGGGTGACGTCTTCAGTTTGATAAAATATGGTGTCAATTTTTATTTTTCTTCTTTCCTTGGTGGCCTTGGATATCACAGAATTCCAGCCTTCCTTGAAGGGTCTCAGTGAGAGAAAACAAATGAAACAGAGCTCTGTGGAAGCACACAGAGAAGCTATTTGTTGTTCTGGGACCGTTCTGGGCAGAGACCCTGGGGCCCGGCTCAGGGAAGAAGAGTACCAAGGGCTCAAGGTCAGCGGAGCCTTGTTTGCTCCTGGGTAGTGGAGGCCACAGCAGAAGGCATAGGCCTTGACCGCATGGCCCCTCGTCTAGCATCTGGGATCCCGACAGCTGGGGAGGGCCCTCCTGCCTGGCCATGTACCTGCAGGGGTCTGCGGTCTGCTGCCGTTCTCCCTGCTGCATTACTCGCCGTCTGTGGCTCCAGGGGGAAGTGGGCATTTTCTGGCCCAGTGTGCAGCTGACCAGCTTCAGGAGAAGAGTGAACACCTCCGGGTACAAGGTGGTGATGGGGGTGCCTGTTGATACCACTTCATACATAGCACAGGCCACCTGAGGGGAGAGAGAACCCCACGGTCAAGCAGGCCCCTTTCCTCCCAGAACATCTCCCGGGCCTGATCTTCAAGTTTGTTTTTCTCCCCAGAGGATTGCTTTCCAAGGTGACCACACTCATGGTAAAAACAAAGCAAAACAGAGCAAAACAAAAATAAAAACAGCCTGAAAAGAGAGGGTGTATTTGTCTGGAAACTTCTCAACTCAGAATGTGTTTCTCTCTGAGGACTGCCATGTTGGGCAGCTCCAAATTCCAGGGGGGAACCAGTCAGGTTAAATGAAATCTTTTCCAGCACTGACGTCTTTCAAAAGGGTGCTTTTGGATCTCTTGAAGACAAATTTGGAAATATAGATAACACGGATTTTCTTTGAGATGATGAGAAATTTGGTTCTAAAAGTGACAGCCGCAGACAAAATTGCCACCATATTTGTCGAATCTAAGCTGGAGTTGATTTAAAATCAGAGTATGAGAGGGGAAGAAGTATGATTAATGCTACATCACCAAGTTCCAGTTGGGGACAGACCACGTAGTGGGATGCTATTCCAGGCATGTGATGGGTTGTCCAACTCACTGAAATCGCCTCCATCCCGGCTAGGTCATCTTCCAATTCATTCTCAAGTTTGTCTGTTAAGGCTCTCAAGAGCTTACTACTGGAGGTTATGTTCTCAGCCAGAGCCTTCCACAATGTCTTTGTGTCCCTAGAGTGGTAAGGCAGGAAGCTGATAAGAAACAACTCTTTGGATTATGAGCGTTTTCATCTGTTCCCCTCTAAAACAACATTATGACTAATCAAAATTTCAAGGACAGATAGAGATGCTAACATGCCTGGAAATAAGAAGGATGTGTGATTTAACAGTCCAGCATTCTGGACGTGGGTGACTTAGGTTTGTTGATGTCCATTAAGGCAGAAACCTCTCCCATAGGTGTATTCTAGGCAACCGGAAAGAGGAGAAATACTCATTTTTCTAATACTCATTTATTCCTATGATATATATTTTTTTTTAAAAATCTCATTTAATGAGGATATGTATATGAAAAACACTTGGAGAAACGTCCCTTGTGATTCAAACACCATTTTTGAAATTATTATTTAGGTGAGATGTTCTCAACCTTTGTTTTTGCTTTCTTTCTCTCAAACCACTAATTCTTCCTCAATGCAGATTAGCCTTTCCTAGGAGAATGGACCGGCTCAGTTAGAATCTACCTGTCAAAGGGCAGAGGCTTCTGTAAAAGGTTGGCAACAACTGCATCCATGTGAAAGCTGGCGATCTGAGAGACGGCTTCCAGCATAAACTGAAAACTTTCTTCCTTTTGCCTGAGGACTGGCATGTGATGGTAAATCATGCTCAAGATCTCCAACAGCTAAAAGAAAAAAACAAAAAGCCAAATCAAACAGGAAGTTGCCATTTTTCCTCTACATGAATGACTTAGGACACATATAGTCAGCATATTATTCATGGGTGGTTGATGAATTATAAACCAGGTTAAAAATAATAATCAATTCTGCATGACCTATCTCTTACTCAGGGGGATTCTAGCTATACTGGGTGTTTATTCTTAAGTCGATGTAGCAAATATTTGGTGAAAGGCTGCATTAGGCCAAATATTGTGCTAGGCATTGTGGGGAATTTACCAAAGATGAATAAGATGCGGCCCTTTCTCAAAAGGAATCAGTATTCTAATAAAGAATGTTAGCCATACTGGGTGATGGACATTGGGGAGGGTATCTGCTCTGGTAAGCGCTGTGAATTGTGTAAGACTGTTGAATCTCAGATCTGTACCTCTGAAACAAATAATGCAATATATGTTAAGAAAAAAAAAAGAAGAAGATAGCAGGAGGGGAGAAAGGAAGGAGGCAAAATCGGAGGGGGAGACGAACCATGAGAGACTATGGACTCTGAGAAACAAACTGAGGGTTCCAGAGGGGAGGGGGTTGGGGGGATGGGTTAGCCTGGTGATGGGTATTAAAGAGGGCACGTATTGAATGGAGCACTGGGTGTTATACGCAAACAATGAATCATGGAACACTACATCAAAAACTAATGATGTAATGTATGGTGATTAACATAACATAATAAAATTAAATTAAAAAAAAAAAAAGAATGTTAGCCATGTACCCAAAGGCCTGTGCAAAAGGCAATGTACGGCAAGTGGTATATAGGATGTTCACAGGACTGATAGGGGAATCTGGGAGTAACTGAGGTCACTTTGGACGGACATCTGGTCTGAGTCTTGAAGGATATATAGCAATCTCAAAAGGCAAGGTGGAGATGGTGGGGGAAAGTCATCCTCATCAGAAAGAAGAATACAGATAAAGATGTAAAATAAAAAAAAGCACGAGAATAGATAAAGCACAGATTTTTAGAGCAGTGAAACGATTCTATATGTTACTGCAATGCTGGATACATGCAATTATGTATTTGTCAATGCCAAGGTGAACCTTACTGGAAACTATGGACGTCAGGTGATAATGATGTGTCGATGTAGGTTCACTGATTGTAGCAAATGTACTACTCTGGTGTGGGGTGTTGATAGTGAGGGAGGAGGCGTGTGTGTGGGGAGAGAGGTATATGGCTATCTGCTCTATTTTGCTGTGAATCTAAAACAGCTCTTAAAAAAAATCTATATAAAAAAATAGCAGGAGATCATGAGCCCAAGCAAATATGGTGAAGATTTCTGGAATAGGAGAATGGTCTAGTTTGGAACACAGAGAAAATGAGGGTGGTAAAAAAGAAGATAACTTGATAGAAAATATGAAGCCAGATCCTAGAGAAAACTGAAGGGCGCCCTTCCAAATTTGGGTGTTAATTTGTGGGCAGTAGGAAATGATATTATACATTTGGATTTTAGATTTGGAGAAGGGCAAGTCTCTCTGCTAAAGTAACTTTGCTTTTAGTAGATACTTCTCTTATTTATTTTGGGTAGACATTTTTAGGTTAAACAATACATTTCCTCTGAATTATAATTCCTTAAACATAAATATCTGGCAAGTATGATTACCACAGAGTCCCATTTCAATGATGTTAGGAGAGGATTTAGGTGCTAAACACACAAATACGACATTCCAAATTTATAAGCCTTTGATTCTTTCATGTTTGGCCTAGTGCCTGCCATAGTATGCACTCAATAAATATTTCTGGGGGTGCCTGGGTGGCTCAGTTGGTTGGAGGTCTGACTCTTGGTTTCAGCTCAGGTCATGATCTCAGGGTCGTGGGATTGAGCCCCACGTTGGGCTCTGTGCTCAGAGGGGAGTCTGTTTGGAGATTCTTTCCCTCTGCTCTCCCCCGACTCACGTGCTCTTTCTCTCTCTCTGAAATAAATAAATCTTTAAAAAAATAAATGTTTTTGCCTTTAAAGAAGAATTAATACGTATTCTTCTGAAACTGTTCCAAAAAAATAGAAATGGAAAGAAAACTTCCAAACTCTTTTTATGATGCCAGAATTACCTTGATCCCAAAACCAAAAACTCCATCAAAAAGGAGAA